GAAGTATCTAAAGATAAATTTAAGGAAGCCTTAAATATAAGGCCTGACTATGAATATGGGCATTAATTCCTTATTTCTGCTATTGTGCGCGATCCCTCCAAAATATACCTTGGAAGTTGGAATATCGGAGTTCGTAAAATTCCCTAGCGTAAACATACGATACAACCTGAATTTACTTACGATAGTTACGATTTGCATTTCTGCTCATGGACGAATGCTTCTTTCCGGTTGTGAATCGCACGCGACGCAATGGGTTCGTGTTACAAATTTCTTATTATTATTTAAAAAAAAATATTAGTTTAGAAATAACGATTATGAAAAGCCAAAATCTTTTGATAAAATTTCTGCCGATATATTTTGCTTAACATTTTTTATGCTACACACTGTTATAAATGCACAAGTAGTATCTTTCCTCTTAATGCGTGTAGCCTGCTTGAAGTATCGAGAACGTGTAGTAATTATTGTCAGATATGCCAATATAGTATCGTAGTATTGACACAATAACTTTATCTCATATTGAACGTATATTTTTAATATTTTTAATATTTTCCATATAAAAAATTTTCTTTTCTCGAAAATAATATAATGCAAAATATAACCTCATTGTAACATTTCCTTTGCATTGTAGGTAAACCAAGAGGTCTTCGTACGGCGCGTAAGCACGTGAACCACAGACGCGAGCAGCGATGGAACGATAAGGACTATAAAAAAGCACATTTGGGAACCAGATGGAAGGCTAACCCTTTCGGCGGTGCCTCTCATGCTAAAGGCATTGTCTTGGAAAAAGTGTAAGTAATAACGTCCATGTGATAATTTTAATAACATTTACATCTGTATAGTTTGTCATGTAACTTATTGATATTTTATCATTCAATAGAGGAGTAGAGGCAAAACAGCCCAACTCTGCCATTCGCAAGTGTGTCAGGGTACAGCTGATTAAGAATGGAAAGAAGATTACAGCCTTTGTGCCAAGAGACGGTTGCCTTAACAACATCGAGGAGAACGATGAAGTTCTAGTGGCAGGTTTTGGTCGTAAAGGTCATGCCGTTGGTGATATTCCTGGAGTACGATTTAAAGTGGTGAAGGTCGCAAACGTTTCTTTACTTGCTCTTTACAAAGAGAAGAAGGAACGACCTAGATCTTAAATTATTGGTCAGAAAATGTATTTGACAAATATAAGACATAAGTTAAAAACTTACATAATTGTTCTATTTTAATTTTATTATCAAGGTACCTTTCTCTATACTATCTCTTTAATACCTATGATGCTTTTATGATTTATTTATATAAATAGACAATTCTATTCTTTTGTGTATTAATATTTAGAATGTTATAAATTATACTAAACAATTATGGACCTACATACACGATTATACATATAAAATCATTCAACACGATTACTTATTAGATTTGTGAGTTCCTCATTACAAATGACTATATCTTCTATAATTGCGTTTAAAGGTGCGACGGTCTTTGGTAATTCTTTTGCTAATTTTACATTAGATAACTCTTCTTTTGCTTGTAGTACCTGTAAGTATAATTGGAAATACATTTTTGAGAAAATAGTAAAAATATTGTGCAGTAATGTGGATAAAATACTTACCTTTTTCAAAGAGGAAAAATCAGAACATATACTTTTAATATTTGAACAAATAGAATCAGAAATATCTTTATCTAAATTTCTAACTTTCACTGGCCAAGATGAAACTGTATGAAACGCTTCTATAAACTTTTTTTTTTCTTTATCAAACAGTACAGTCTGTTCTTCGTTATCCAGTCTATCATCAGTCTATATTAATTTTTACATAAAATATCAGTATAATTTATATATATTATTTATAATTTTTAATATAATCCTATTGTACCTCTACGTGTAAGTCTTCAGGCACGTTAGTCATAATTTCTTTGCGATCATTATTTAATATTTCTTTCTCGCTCTCTTCAAAATATTTAATAGCTTCTGCATAACTTATTTTTGGTTTAACGGCAGAAAGAGAGGATGCCTGATCAGTATCATTAATGCACAACTAAAAATGTTTAAAAAATAT